CGACGCCGCCGCCGCCGCCGGCCGCGAAGCTGCGGTCGCGCGGGTCCTCCTCCTGGCGCGCGCTCAAGCCGCCTTAGCCGTCTTACGTCCCGTTCGCCGGGTCCCAGTTCGGCGGCGGCTCCCACGTCGTCTCCTTGGTCTTGCGGTCGTAGTAGTAGTAGACGCCCGTCGCCGCGTCGAGGTGCCGCGCGACGACGGGCCGCTTCTTCTTCTTCGCCGGCGCCGCGTTCGCCGCCCGGTTCTCCTCGGGCGGCGGCGGCGGCGGGTCGGCGGCGCCGTTCGCGCCGTTCGCGGCGGCGCCGCGGACGAGCTTGTCGAGCGTCGACGCGTCGACGCCGACGGACCGGAGCACGGCGAGGGCGTCCTCGTCGATGACGGCCCGGGGCTTCGCGGCGGGCGCGGGCGCGGGCGCGGCCTTGCGGTTCGCGGCCGCGGACGCGCGCCGCGCCGCCGCCGCGGGCTTCGCGGCGGCCTTCGCGGAGGGCACCTTCGCGGCGGTCTTCGCCGCCGCCGACGGCCGCCGCGTCGCCGTCGTCGCCTTGGGCTCCTCGGCGACGAGCGCCCCGTCGCGCGCGCGCCGCAGGGCCGCGCGCGCGTCGTCGCGCTCCCTCGCCAAAGCCTTCCGCTCCGCGTCGAAGGACGCGGTCGCGGTGGCCAGCTCCTCGCTCTGGACGAGCACGGAGGCCTCCATGAGCGCGACGCGCTCCCGCAGGTCCACGGACGCGCCGGCCATGTCCGCCGGGGCCAGCGGCGGCAGGTCCCGGAGCCACGCGTGGTAGCGCTCGAGCCAGTCGCGGCGGTCCACGGCGGACGCGGCGGACGCGCCGCGCGCGGCCCACTCCTTCGCGAGCGCCGCGCGCCGCTCCGCGAGGTCCCGGGCGCGCGCCGTCGCCGGGGCGTCGGACGGCGCGTCGGGCGCGGCGACGCCGCGGCGCTGCTGCCGGACGACCTTCTCGAGCCGCGCGATCTCCTGGCGCGCGACGGCGAGCGCGTTCCGCAGCTCGCGCGCGCCGCCGCCGCCGCCGCCGCCCGTGTCCGCCGCCTCGACGTTCGGCGCGGCGAAGACGCGCACCTTCATGGCCCGCCGCGCGAAGTGGAGCGTCGACAGCGTCTCCTCGACGGCGGACCTGCGCCGGACATCAACCGGTGGTTTGGGACGTCGGGGCCAAACTTTGAAATTCTCGAGCTCGGTCACATCGACGTCGTTTTGGCTCATTCTTGGACGAATCGATGGCGCTCGTCGAGTTCTCGAAGCACGACAGAATAACTCGCGTCGAAACTATCGAATACTCTCACATTGAAGTCGGGTTGAAGATTTGTGTTTCCCGCCCGGCGGCGGACGCGCACGGCGACATCGTCGCGACGAACGCGGCCTTGCACGTGCCGCCGAGCGAGTCCTGCAGTAAGCGCGTGAGCTTGGACGCGCGGTAGGGCACGTGGGCCTTGCCCGCGATGAGCGCGCCGACGACGTTCGCGAGCGCGGAGAGGCTCTGGTTGATGGACGTGAGCTCCTTGATGCGCGCGGCCTGTGTGCAATCAAATCTTCAACTCGACTTCAATGTGAGCGTATTCGAATTCTTTGACGCAAGAACTTCCGCCGTGCTTCGAGAACTCGACGAGAGCAATCGATCCGTCCAAAAATCAGCCGAATCGACTTCGATTTGACCGAGCTAGAGAATTTCAAAGTTTGGTCGGGACGTCCCAAACCAGTGGTTGATTTGCACACAGCGCGCGGCCGAGAAGGCCTTGAGCTCGTAGGACCGCCACTTCTCGGACCCGGCGAGGTCCACGAGGTTCAGCTTCGACCGGAGCAGGCGGCCGTCGCGGTCGAGGCGCTCGATGGCCACGGCGAAGATCGTGTGCGACCGCGAGCTCCGCTCGTTGAGGTCCGTCGCGCACATGGCGCGGTTCTCCGCGCCGAACCAGAGCACGTCGAGCACCTGGTCCTCGGCGCCGACCTCGACCTCCTCGGCGCCCAGCGCGATCATGCCGCGCTCGGCGTCGTCGCGGATGTCCAGCGCCGCGGGCTCGCCGTCGCCGTCCGGCGGCCGCAGCAGGTCGACGACGCGCTCGTTGTGGATCTCGACGTAGGACACCTTGACGCAGGCGCGCGCCCGCGACCGCTTCAGCGCGCCGAAGAGGCAGGCCATGGCGCGCGGGATGAGCCCGCGCTCGCCGTCGCTCGTCCGGTCCGCGGCCGCGCGCGCGCACTCGGCCGCGAGCCGCCAGACGTCGTGGCCGAGCATGGTGTGCGTCTTGCCCGTGCCCGTCTGGCCGTAGGTCAGGATGCTCGCGTTCGTGCCCTCGAGGGCGCAGGCGACGAGGGGCGCGCAGCACGCCGCGAAGACGTCGCCCTGGCTCGCGTCCTCGTCGAAGACGCGCTCGAAGCGGAAGGCGCGGTCGCCGTCGCCGCCGTAGGCCGACGCCACGGACACGGCGCCGTGCGCCGCCTGCGCGTAGACGGCGCGGCCCTCGCCCTCGCGCGCCTCCCGCGCGCTGAGCGGCCGCACGCGCGCGAAGACGGACACGGTCTCCATCGTCTCGAGGCCAACCGCGTCGGGGCAGCGTTTTTGTATAGGTTCAAGGTGCCGGAATTGCCGCCATCTTGAATTGGCAAGCAGCGGCATGGGGGCAGCCCGCGTCGCCGCGCTCTTGCTGCTGCCGGCGCTGGCGACGGAGGTGATTTTCACGCCAGCAGCCCGCGTCGCCGTGCTCTTGCTGCTGCCGGCGCTGGCGACGGAGGTGACCTTCACGCCCGGTCCCGGCCTCCAGAAGAACGCCGACGGCACCTACTCGCGCGAATTGACGCCCGAGTACCTCGCGCACGCGGGAGCCCTCGACGACGACGCGAACGCGACGACGAACGCGACGACGAACGCGACGCGCAAGGCCGCGCGCTACGACGCCTTCGGCAACGTCATCCCCGAGGAGGAGCCCGAGGCGCCGAAGAGCGACTTCCAGATCTTCGCCGAAAAGATCCTGCCCTGGCTCCTCATCGAGTGCGGCTACCGCCACGTCGCCGCGTTCTTCGCGGTGCTCTGGGCCGTCGGCAAGTGCCTGGGCTACGGCCTCGCCGTCGCCGCCCGGGTCCCGCGGCCCCGGCGGCGCTACGCCCTGCCCTTCCTGCTCTTCCTGCTCTTCGCGTGCCGCCACGCCATCGGCGACTTCTACGAGGACGCCGAGGCCGAGTACCGGAGGATCCGGAACGAGACCATGACGGCGATCGTCGAGGAGATGACGGGCGAGAAGCCCTGGACCTTCGACTTCCCGCAGTTCAAGGTCGCCAACGGCTCCAACGCCACCGTCGTCGAGCGGGTTCGAGCCGCGAAGGAGCTCCACAAGCAGGTCGACGTCGCGCACAAGCAGATGGACTTCGTCAACAAGAAGATCGACTACCAGCGCCGGGAGCACCGGCGCCTCGACGCCCAGCTCGACGCTGAGCGGGCGGCGCTGGCCATGGTGCTGGAGACGCACCGCGCCATCGCGGGCGAGATCGCGGGCCTCGAGGACCAGTTAGGGTTCGCCGCGTACGAGCACCTCGGCGAGCCCATCGTCAAGGCCATCAAGAGCCGCGCCAAGAGCGCGGCGCTCCTCGCCCAGACGCTCGAGGACCTGGCACTCGTCAACGACACGGAGAAGGCCATCCTCGAGGCGGAGCGCGACCGCAAGGCCAAGGACCTGAACAACTCGAAGGAGCGCGTCCCCAAAGACCGGGAGCAGTGGGCCAAGGACCGGAAGAAGACCATCAAGACCCAGCTCGACGGCCACCCGGCCTACACGGCGGACGGCGACTTGAACCACACGGCGCTCTTCACCGTGCTCCTGGGCCACTGCAAGGTCCAGTGGAAGCGGAGCGGCTGGGAGCGCTTCTTCTCCGACGTCTGGGACGACCCCGTCAAGCACGTGCCGCGCTACGCCGAGAAGCGCCGGGGCCAAATCGTCCGGGACTGGAACTGGCTCAAGCGCACGGGCGTCGGGTCCTACGTCGGCCTGTGCCTCTTCAACGCGACGCGCGACGCGAACGCGACGCTCTACGAGCGACGGAACGTCACCGTCGAGCAGCTCTACGACGCCGTCGTCTTCCCGCCGCTCAACCAGGCGCGCCAGATCGGCGGCGAGCTCCAGGCCGTCGGCGTGCGATGCCTCTTCCTCGTCTGGCGCCTCTTCGAGCCGACGGCGCTCCGGAGCTACGCCTATTGGCGCGACGTCGCGAAGCCCCGGAGCCTCCGGGCGTTCAAGGCGGCGTTTCGCGCGGCGAGCCGGTGGCTCATGGCCTGCGAGGCCGCGCCCGTGGCGCTCCGGGTCCACTCCGACGTGGTGGTGTGGGTGGTTCTGCTGAGCCCCGTCGAGGCCTGGGTCGCGTGGCATCTCCTGAAACCGCCCGTGGGTCTCGCGCGAGACTACGCGCGCGACGCGGCCTGGGTCGCGAGCTTCCCCGCGGGCCTCGCCTGGTGGCTGTTGTGGCCCGCGCGCGCCGCCGTCCTCGCCGCGTCGACGGCCCAGGCGCTGGCCTTCGCGGCCGCGGCCGCCGCGCTCGCGGACGCGAAGCGGCCTCCGCGGCCCGGCGCGCGCGCGGTCGCGCTCGAGGACGGCGACTTACTCTAAGTTTAAACGTCGTCGACGAAGGCCGCGGACGTGGCCTCGGCGACCCAGTTCGCGAAGATGCCCGTGAACCGCCCCTCCCGCGAGTAGAACGCGGCGTCGTCCGCGTCCTCCCAGCCCAGCGGGAGCGTCGGCGTGATGGGCTTCCCGCGGAGGAGCTTCGTGAGGACGTGGAGCGCGCGCTGCGGCGCGTAGGCCGGCACCATGTGGCCGCTGTCCTTGAAGGTCAAGAAGTCGAAGGCCACGTCGGAGCCGGAGGCGTAGGACGTGTGGTAGCCGCCGACCTGGGGCCCGACGGCGACGGCCTTGAGCAGGGACCCCCAGGCCGCGGGCTTGTTGAGCACCGTCGCATCGTCCGTCGCCGACGCGTTGTAGAACCAGGGCAGCCGCGCGGACGCGTTGAAGCCGATGGCGCGCACGGCCCGCTCCGTGCCCTTGAGGCCGACGACGGTGTCGACGTCGCCGGAGGAGATCAAGACGCGCGCGAAGTTCTTCGCCGACGGCTTCGCCGACGCGGCGAGCTCGCGGTAGACGTCGATCATGGACTCGTTCGCGTGGGGCCCCGCGGGGGCCGCGTTGCACGCCGCGTACTGGCTCGTGTAGCCCGCGTAGCCGTTGTTGTCGAGCTCGAGGTGGTAGACCGCGTTCGGCGACTGCCCCGCGCCGATGTGGCCCCGCAGCGAACCGACGAACGCCTCGAGGTCCGGCCCGCCGGACGGGCCCAGGGCGTTGAGCGGGTCGACGTACATGGGCAGGCCCGGGATGGGCGCGGGCTGGACGGCGTCGCCGATGCCCGCGAAGGCGACGTCGTAGACGCGCCAGGCGACGCGGCAGGCCCGCTGGGTCGTGTTCCGGACGCGATCGCCGAGCGCCGTGAACGACAGCGTGCACGCGTCGGACGTCAGCGTTTCGTAGAGCCGCGCGTCGATCAGGCCCGCGGAGAAGAGGAAGCTCGGCCCGATATCGAGCCAGCCGAACTGCTCCTTGTTGTCGATACAGGGGTCCGTGAACCACGCGCCGTGCAGATTCGCGACCGTCGCGTCATCGAACGCGTCGAGGATGGCCCGCGCGAGCAGCGGGCCGTACACGCCCGCGTAGGATTCGCCCGTCAGGAACAGGGGCCGCCCTTTCAACGCCGGGAAGAGGTCGAGGAACCCGGCGAGGAACTTCACGTTCTGGGAGGCGACGGACGAGTCGTCCGCGGGGCACGGCGAGCACAGGCCCGAGGACTGGGCGCAGGTCGCGGTCCCGTTGGCCGACGCGGCGCAGTAGCTGTAGCCGACGCCGGGCGCGAACTCGACGTAGAGCACGTTCGCGCGCGCGTTCCACGCGTACGGGTTGTCGACGAGGACACCGGCGTCGTTCAGGAGCAGCGGCCCGTTCTCGGAGAAGAGGCCCGCGAAGCTCGACGCGCCGGGGCCCCCGTTGAACCACCAGACCAAGGGGTCGGAGGCTGGCTCGTCGGCGGATTCGACCAAGTAGTAGAAGAGGTGGCTGCCACTGGCGGCATCGGTCTCGACGAAGCCTACCAAGCATGACGGTGACGATTTCTCATTGTTTTCCCACCCCAAATCTCTCGAAAATCGTCACGGCCACAGGACGCTGGACGAAGCCCGTCCAATGGGCCGTCGGCGGCGCGCCGTACACGGGCAGCGTGTCCACCTTTCTTTTCGTGTCGACGGCGCCCGTGGCGGTGAGCGCCAACGCCAGCGCGAGCCAGCGGCGAGCGCCAACGCCAACGCCAGCGCGGGCTGCCGTCGTCGCCATCGTCGAGAGAGCTTCCGGAAGGTTCAAGGTTAAGGTAAACAATCGCTGATGAATTGCCACTACTTACATGTAGACAGTCGAAATCGGCCGCGCGTGCGGTGACGGCCGCGCCGGTGTGTGTTGACCCCACCGGTGAAGAAAAAGCGTGCGGTGACGGCCAGCGCGGCGCGTGTTGACCCCAGCGGTGAAGAAAAAAGGACCGGCGCCATGCCCGTGCTGCGCAGCGCCGCGCTCCTCGCGAGCCTCACCGCCGTCGATGCCTGCACGACGATCCTGGTGGGCCGCAAGGCGAGCGCCGACGGGTCCGTCATGTGCTCGCACACGAACGACGGCGAGGCGATCACCGACGCGCGCCTCGTGCGCGTCCCCGCCCGCGACCACGCGCCCGGGGCCCGGCGGCCCGTCTTCTTCTCGCCGGAGGACTACCCGCGCTACGTCGGCTACGAGCGCGGGCTCGAGGCGTACTACCCCGTCGGCGGCCAGGAGCCCATGGCCTCCATCGGCTCGCTGCCCGAGGTCAATGCCACCTACGCCTACTTCGAGGAGACCTACGGCGCGCTCAACGAGAAGCAGGTGGGCATGGGCGAGTCGACGTGCTCGTGCGTCGACTGGACGGCGCTCGGCGGCCGCGACAGCGAGCCTTGCGGGTCCGCGGACGGCCCCTGCGCGCTCCTCTCCGTGGACGAGCTGACGCGCATCGCCATGGAGCGCGCGTCGACGGCGCGCGAGGCCGTGTCCCTCATGGGACACCTCGCCGTCGAGCACGGCTTCTACGGCGCGGACTCGTTCGAGGGCTCCGCGGAGTCTTTGATGGTCGTCGACCCGCGCGACGCGTGGATCTTCCACGTCCTGCCGCACCCCTCGGGGACGTCGGCGGCCTGGGCCGCGCAGCGCATCCCCGACGACCACGTGGCCGTCGTGCCCAACGCGTTCGTCATCCGAGAGGCGAACCTGAGCGACGCGTCGACGTTCCTCGGCAGCGACCTCGCGGGTCTCGCGTCCAAGTATCCGGCGCTCGCGAAGACGTGCCCGTCGAACGAGCGCTGCGATTTTACGAAAACCTTCGGCGACGGCGAATACGCGCACAAGTACTACAGCGGCCGCCGATTGTGGGGCATGTACCGCCTGCTCGCGCCGGACACCGTCCTGGACCCGGAGTACGCGTCGGCGACGCCGCAGTTTTTGCCGTACCCGACGTCGCTGCCGGCCGCGGGCTTGACGCTCCAGGCGGTGCTCGACGCGCACCGCGACCACTACGAGGGCACAGCCTACGACATGACGAAGGGCCTGGCCGCTGGCCCGTTCGGCACGCCGAATCGCTACTCGCCCGGCGCCGGCGAGGAGAAGGTCCGCGGCAACTGGGAGCGGGCCATTTCTCTGTATCGCACGTCCGACTCCTTCGTCGTCCAGGCGCGGTCCTGGCTTCCCGACGCCGTCGGGGGCGTGCTCTGGTGGGGGCCCATGGCGCCCCACGCGACGGTCTACACGCCGGTGCTCGCGGGCCAGCGGGAGATCCCCAAGTTCCTCGGCTCCGGGCACCAGGGGTCCTTCGACCGCGACACGATGCTCTGGAAAGTGCGTTATGTCGCGAATTTGATGGACCTCAAGTTTTCCTACATGGTCAAGGACGTCCGCGAGGCGCAGCGTTCGCTCGAGGGCTCCGCGCGTCTCGCCGTGGAGGACGCGGCCGCGGCCTTCGAGAAGGACGGCTCGACGGAGGCGCTGACGGCGGCGCTCGCGCGCGTCGCGAAGCTGAACCTGGCCGCCGTCGCCGACCTCTTCGATCTGCTCATGTTCAAGTACGCCGACGGCTGGGTGAACACGCCCACGCTCGGCGACGGCGTCGGCTACCCCGCCTGGTGGCTCAAGGACGTGAACTACACGCGCGGCCCGCCGCCCCTCTAAATCCCCTTATCGCGCGAAGTCCATGGAGAAGATCTCCGCGACGAGCAGGAGCGCGGCGACGAAGAGCGGGATCAGCGTGTGGTGCTCGGCCCAGGTGAACGTGCCGCCCGCGACGACGAGGATGCCGTAGAAGACGAACGCGAGCCCCGCGCCGCCGTGGACGCTGTAGAGGAGCGGGATGAGCAGCACGCCCAGCATGGCCGGCAGCGCCTCCTCGCGGTTCGCGTGGTCGACGTGGCGGAGGATGGGCGACAGCGACGCCGCCGTGTAGACGAGGAGCGCGCCGGACACCTCCGTGGGCACGATTTCGACGGTCTCGCGGCCCGACGCCGCGGACGCGAGGAAGAGCAGACCCGTCACCACGGACGCGAGGCCCGTGCGCCCGCCTACGAAGGGTCGATTCGTCCCCGTAAACACATCTCGAAACGCGCCGGCGCCGCGCCCGCGGCGATGCCGACGGCCGACTCGACGAAGCAGGTCATCGGCGCGCAGCCGAGCAGGGACCCGAAGGCCCACGCGGCGCCGTCGACGAGGATGATCTTCTGGAGCTTCGGCGTCGACGCGACGTAGTCGCGGAACTTCTCCGGGCCGAGCGCGTCGACGGCGCCCGCGCCGGTCCTCTTGGGCGCCTCGTGGAAGCCCAGCAACACGAAGACGACGAGGAAGACCGACGCGAGGATGTCGAAGATCTTCCCCGTGACGTAGCCGAGCGCGGTCCAGAGCGCCGCCGCCCACTGCGCGCCCGTCCAGGTCCCCGGGAAGCGCATGCCGTAGAGTCGGACGCCGCCGTGGCGGTCCTTGCTCTCGAAGACGGCGTCGCCCGCCGCCGCGCGCGCGACGGCCGCCGCGAGGGCGCCGCACACCGTCGCCGCGAGGACGACGACGTGCTTCTTGTCCGGCCGCCGCACGTCGCCGACGACGACGGCGACGAGCACGAGCGCCGCCAGGATCAGGTCCGGCCGCTTCGACGAGCTCAGCGTCGGGCTCGCCTCGGCGCCGCCGCAGCCGACGACGCCCATGCCGCTCTCGTCGAGGAGGCCGAGGTGCGCTAAAAACATGAGCAAACCGAAGCCCACGCCGACGAGGTAGGACACGGGCAGCGCGCGGATCAGGCGCGCGAGGCTCCCGCGCTTCGCCAGGAAGGCGACGAGCGCGACGTAGCCGAGGCTCGACAGCAGCGACAGCGAAAGCTGCGACCGCCACGTCATCCAGGAGTTCGTCTTCAGCGCGAAGTAGCCGTTCGTCGCCATGGCCGGCGCGACGACGAGGGGCGCGTTCGCGACGACGCCCATGACGAGCGTGCTCGCGCCCGTCGCGACGGCCGTCGCCGTCGCGAGCGGTCCCGCGGGCTGCCCCGTGTCGAAGCCGAAGGCCAGGCCCGTCTGGTAGTAGGGGTTCGCGTGGACGATGTAGACCTGCGACGCGCGGGTCCGCGCCGCGACGCGCGGAGAAACGCGCCGCGCGCGACGGTGACGAGGTAGTTGACGCAGCCCGCGAGCACCTCGCGGCCGGCCGTCGACCGCTGGCTCCGCAGCTTGAACCACTCGTCCAGGTTCTCGCCCATGGACTTGCTGCTCGTCGCCGCCCAGGCGTCGCGGAGCATCCGCGCCCGCGACCGCGCGGGCGCCAGGCCCACGGCGGTCGCGCAGTCGAGTTCCAGCTTCGGCGCGGCCAGCGGGTTCGCGCTCGCCTGGCCGTCGCCGGCGTCGACGTCGGCGACGTCGGTCGCCTGGCCGTTGCCGGCGTAGACCTCGGCGATGTCGGGCCGCAGGCCCGGGCTGCTCGGGCTGCTCGGCATCCGGATGCCCGTCCTCATCGTCTCACCACACTGGCCATCGCGCTCTCCCACATCATCTTGAACTTCAATATTCCAGGATGCCTCTCCTCCCGGGGAACACAACACAGGCTTAGGTCTTCCGCGCGGAGGGTCGCGCGATCGCGCGGCGCGCGGCATGGTCCGCGCGCGCGCGGGTGTTCGCACGGCCTACTTCGCCTTGGGCTTCTTGGCCGTCGTGCCGGATTTGCCCTTGGCGCGCTGCGGGCACTTCGCGGCGGCGAAATTGGCGCGCGCGGCCTTGGCCTTGCAGACGAGGCCGGCGCAGGGGCCGCGGAGCGCGTCGTAGACGAAGACGTCGACCGCGGCCGGCGTCGCCGGCTTGGCCTCCGAGTCGAGCGCGAGGCGGTAGACGTCGACGGCGAGCGCGAACTCGCAGATGGTCGCCTCGAAGCCCGCGACCGTTTTCTCGTCCTGGGGCTGGGCGTTGGCGGCCTTCTTCACGAGCGCGCCGATCGTGAGCTTCTTGAGCTTCTTGCCCGCGATGCGGCAGTCGTCGTAGAGCACGGACTGGAAGAGCCGGCGGTAGGCGGGGCCGCCGCGGTCCTCGCCGTCGAGCTCGTACTTCGCGCGCGTCTCGAATTTCCTCAGGTCCGTCGCGACCTCGGCGCGCTTCACGCGCAGCGCCGACCTACCGGGGACGATCGGGCGCGCGGGCAAACGGGACGCGGGGTCGACGCACGATTTTTGGCTGCCCGCGGTCGGCACGTGGCCCGGCGGCAGCTTGAGCCGGAACGCGTCGCGCGCGTTCGCCGCCGACTTCAGGACCGCGTCGGACTTGGAGCTGCCGCCCTTGGACCGCTTCGCGAATCCGGAGATCGCGTCGTCGCCGTAGGCGTCCTGGCCGGCGGCCGCGCGGTCCGCCGTGGTCTGCGACCTGCGGGGGCGTGGCGTTCGAGGCCCGCGCGCGCGCGCGGTCGAAGCGAGGCGCCGGACGCGCGCCCGCCCTTGCGCCCGCCCTTGGCCTGCATGCCCGGCGCGTGGATGCCCTTGCCCTCCGCGGCCGAGTTGCGCCTGCGCGGGCGGTCCCCGTCGCGCGTCGCGTCGAACACCGGCGCGTGCGGCGCTCGCGGCCCGCGCGCGGCGCTCTCGAGGCGAGGCGCCGTCGAGGCGCCGACGAGGCGCGCGCGCGTGGACGCCGGTCGCGCGCCCGCCCTTGGCGCAGCGCTCCTTGTGGTTGGCGAGGGTCTCCTGGGCGACGGTGCCGTAGTTCGCGAAGACGTGGTCCTCGGCCTCCGCGCGGGAGAAGCCGACGTCGATGAGGTCCTGGATCGCGGCCGTTGACGCCGCGATGGCGGCGCTGAGCTTGCCGGTCTTGATGCAGACGCGCTTGTTCTTGAGCTGGACGAAGCCGCGCTTCTCGTCCTCGGCGGACACCTTCGGGCACCGGCGCGCCGGGTGCGGCGGCACCTGGGACTCGTCCTGCGGCGCGTCCTGCTTGAGCTGCCGCAGGTCCCACGTGCCCGGGGCCTCCTTCTGCAGCCGGAAACGCGCGAGGCCCTCCGCCGGCGAGAGGATCTCGGCCATGGCGGTGTGTTTGGCTTTTGGAGAGCGGTCCGTGACGCCGATCGGGAGCTGTTTTTCCGAGGCGGCGCGCGCCATGGATCCGTTGTCCGATCCAATGAGGTTTGCGTTTCTGGCGTGCTTGGCTTGCTACGCCTCGGAAGCCCACGACCCGTGATTTTATCGATTTCTCGCCAAAGACGACATGGTTCGCAACGGAGACATTCTCTGCATCGACTCGGGCGAGGGCCGGTCGCGCAAGGCGCGCGTCTCGCCCGACGGCACCCGCCGCTACACCGAATCGGTCTCGACGACGCCCAACTTCGTGCCCAACGAAAGCGAGCTCGTTTTCTTCTCGGACAACACCTTCACGCTCCGCCGCGACGCTCTCTTCCGCTCCGAGCCGTCGTTCCTGCTCCGCGGCGCCCTCGACACGCCCATGAACGTCCACCTCGGCGAGTGCCCCCGCTTCGAGCCCTTCTCCGCCTCGACCTGCTTCGACGCGATGAAGGACCGCGCGGACCTCGTGGAGATGAAGACCGGCCGCAAGGAGAGCCACGCCTTCTTCGACACGTTCATGGACGTGTCCGAGGTCAAGGGCGCCGACGGCTCCTGGCACAGCGACCTCCGGAACCGCATCACGGACGAGTACATCAACTGGACCGCCCACGAGATCGTCGCCTACGCGACCTTTCTGCGCGCGACCCGCATCGTCTACAAGCCCTACGGCCAGGTCGCCTTCGACAACCTCCACCGCATCATCGCCGCCGTCACGCGCATCCAGAACGAGGGCATGTAGGCAGGGGTTAAACAAGCAAGCATTAGGGGAATGTGGGGAGAACGCGCGGGAGGGCTCATGTGAGGCCGCGGACCGCGTGGCGGTCGGCCGGCGGTCGCGGTCGCACGCCGCGACGCGCTCCGTCGGCGCGAAGCCGTCGACGACGTCGTCCGCGCCGCGCAGCGCGACGCGCAGGACCGCGCCGACGCGCTCGAGTCGCCCCAGCATCTTCGCGCCGAAGCAGTCGTCGTCGGGGTCGCGCTCGGCGCCGAGCGGCGCGCGGCGGCGCGCGGCGCGCGGAAGCCCGGCGCCGAGGACGCCGCCGGCGCGCGCGAGCGCGAGCGCGGCGACGGCGGCCGGTCCCGGCGGGTCCCGGCGTCGGAGCCACGCGACGCGTCCGCGGCGAACCCGGCCGCGGCGCGGCGCTGCGCCGGGGCCGCGCGCGCGTCGCGGGCCGGGCCCGTCGACGGGCACGACGTCGTGCGCGCCGCGCAGCAGCGCGACGCGCAGGACCGCGCCGCCGACGCGCTCGAGTCGCCCCAGCATCTTCGCGCCGAAGCAGTCGTCGTCGGGGTCGCGCTCGGCGCCGAGCGGCGCGCGGCGGCGCGCGGCGCGCGGAAGCCCGGCGCCGAGGACGCCGCCGGCGCGCGCGAGCGCGAGCGCGGCGACGGCGGCCGGTCCCGGCGGGTCCCGGCGTCGGAGCCACGCGACGCGTCCGCGGCGAACCCGGCCGCGGCGCGGCGCTGCGCCGGGGCCGCGCGCGCGTCGCGGGCCGGGCCCGTCGACGGGCACGACGTCGTGCGCGCCGCGCAGCAGCGCGACGCGCAGGACCGCGCCGCCGACGCGCTCGAGTCGCCCCAGATCTTCGCGCGGAAGGAGTCGTCGTCGGGGTCGCGCTCGGCGCCGAGCCGGGCCGCGCGCGCGTCGCGGGCCGGGCCCGTCGACGGTCACGACGTCGTCCGCGCCGCGCAGCGCGACGCGCAGGACCGCGCCGACGCGCTCGAGTGGTCCCAGATCTTCGCGCCGAAGCAGTCGTCGTCGGCCGCGGCGCTCGGCGCCGAGCCGGGCCGCGCGCGCGTCGCGGGCCGGGCCCGTCGACGGTCACGACGTCGTCCGCGCCGCGCAGCGCGACGCGCAGGACCGCGCCGACGCGCTCGAGTGGTCCCAGATCTTCGCGCCGAAGCAGTCGTCGTCGGCCGCGGCGCTCGGCGCCGAGCCGGGCCGCGCGCGCGTCGCGGGCCGGGCCCGTCGAGCACCGCGGCGAGGAGCACGAGGACCGCCACCGCGCCGGGCCCGCCGTCTCCGAGGGCGGCGAGCAGGGGCCCCGCCGCGCGCTCGGCGCCCGCGACCGTCGCGGCGCCGCCGCCGAGCGCGGGCGCCGCGAGCTTCGTCCTACGGGTCGTAGCTGTCGGCGGCCGTGTACCAGTTGCCGTCAAAGTAGATCAGGTCCGACGGCTGGCCGTACACGGACGCGCCGCAGAGCTCCGCGGAGAGCGGCGCGACGACGCTGGCGAAGCCGATGTACTCGATGAACCACCCGTAGCCGTACGCGCTCGACGCGCCGCCCGTGCCGCTCCGCGAGGCCGCGATCTGCGTCTCCGAGGCGAAGCCCGACCCGACGATGGCGTCCTTGACCGCGTCCGCGGACGCGGACCAGGGGATGCAAGTCGTGACGCACTTGGTGTAGTTCATCTCGCCCGTCGCCGTGTTGGACACGGGGAGCGTCAGGTTCAGGCGGGCCGTGTCGCGTGTCTGGAGCCTGCTGCCCAATGGGTCGAGCGCGACAGCGCGACCCGCGCGGAGTCGCACCGATGGCGCGCGGCGCGGCGGCGGCCGGGAGCTGCAACCCCGGGCAGCTCTTTAACTGAAGTTTCTCCACGTCAACGTCGGCGGGGCAGCTTCCAATTCGCACGATGGAGCTGCCGGGCAATGGCTGGGTCGCGCCCTCGACGCCGAAGGAGACGACGCCGCTGCACTTTCCCGGCCCTGCCGGCGTTCCCGCGCGACGGCCGGTTGAACGTGAGCAGCAACATTATCTTGCATTTCCGTGTCCAGGAGCTCAAGGACCTGTGCTTCGTCAACTTCGTCCTCGCGCTCCTCACGCTGCTCTACATGGGCGTGAACGTGACCATGTTCGTGCTCAACTACCTCAACCGCGACGACGACGACTGCGGCGACCCGGACAGCGTCTACGTCGCGCGCTGCGGGGCCCGTTTGCCACGCGCTTCACTTCGCGTTTGCGCGCGCGTTTGCTGATGCTCACGCCACTGGCTATGTACGGGTGTTTATTATGCTCCATTCCAGGCATGTGTCAGCACGTCGGGCGGCGCGCCGCCTCCGGCGCGCCGCCGCCGCGGCGTCCTACTCGACGAGGATCGCGGCCCAGACCAGGAAAATGGAGCCGACAAAAGAGAGGCAGTCGCTGAAGAGACCTACACAAAGAAAACGCCATCAACCACGACCACATCGACCACGGAAAAGCGCCGGCGGCGCGCTGCTCTGGCTATTCGCGTCCTTGTACTTGGGGAAGACGCTCGTGATGAGCGGCTTGGGCACGACGTAGAAGACGGGGTAGCTATTGTCGTCGATGCGCGCCTGGTGCTCCTTGACGATGGCCTGCATCGCCTCCTCGCCCTTGCGCGCGGGCATGAGGTTGTCGAGCCACGCGAACGGAACGACGTAGAAGACGGGCTTCGTGAGGTCGCGCTCCATGGGCGGGCCCTCCTCCTCCTCCGCCTCGGCCGCCGCCGCGGGCGCGAGGGCCGACGGCGCGCCGCCGCCGAAGCCGAACCGCCTACAATCGTTTTCTCGGGTTCCTTCGTCGCGTTTCTATATCCCCGGCGGCCGTCCAGCGTTTCGGTTCACGGGGCGCCGGGTGTGTATCCCCCGCGGCCGTCCAGCGTTTCGTTTTCACAGGGCGCCGGCGCGCGACGAGAAGAAGTTCTTGACCGACATGGATGCCGCGGAGTGTCGACGTCGACGGGTGGCCGCGCGCTCGATCTGCTGGTCTATTGCCTGGAGCTTCGGCAGCTTCGGCAACGAGGTCAACACCAGCTCGATGTTGTAATGCAACGACGACTGTTTCGGATGCACAGGGCTGCATCGGCCGAGCTCTCTCGAAGAACACGGAGCCATACCCGCGCTGACCCTCACGAAACGGCCGCGGGGGGCGCGTGGCGCGGGTGCCGACCATGTCGGGCGTCTTCCTGCGGCGGTCGGCGACCCTCGCCGTGCCCGCGGCCGTGGGCGCGCTCCAGCTCTCCCACGGTCACGGCCGCGCCGAGCCCCAGAGCAGCTGGACGCTCATCGAGGAGAGCGAGCTCGCCCTGTCGGCGCGCGACGACTTCCACGCCGTGGAGCACCCCTACAGCCTGCGGGACGTCGACGCGAATTCCATGACCGTCGCCACGGGCGACTCCTTCGTCGCGCTGGGCGCTCCGTCGCCGCCGGACATGCGGCGGCCGCACTCGACGGCCGAGGGCGACGTCGAGATCCTCAAGCGCGAGGTCCAGGACCTCAAGCGCCAGATCCGCATCCTCCTCGACGCGCGCGTTTCCCCGGCCCCGGACGCGGGCGCCGACGACGGCCCGCTCGTCGCCGCGTCCGGCGCCGGCGCGCCCGCGAACGAGCGGTGCGTCGCCGCGGCCGTCGCGCTCGGCGCCCTCTGCGCAACGCTCTGCGTCCAGCGCCGCCCGACGAACGCCGACGGCTTCCTCAAGCACGCGCCGGGCGTCTGCGGCGCGCTGCACAAGGTCGCGGCCGCGGGCTGCTGCTTCCGCGCTCGGGACGAGTTCCCGGGCGACGCCGCCGTCGCGCGCGCCTAGGCCCTCCTGTGGGACGCAGGCCGGTACGTTTAGTTCGCCGCCTCGACGAGGGCCGCGCCCGGGGACGCCGCGGGGAAGTGGGGCTTGAGCACGACGAAGACGAAGGACTCGGCCTCGTAGGCCTTGCGGATCGCGTCGAGCTGGCCCTCGTCGCAGGTCCCGACGACGGCGCCCCCCGAGCCCGGGAACTTGGCGACGCCGCCGTGCTTCGCCGCGATGTCGATGAGCTGCAGGTTCGTGCGGCCCAGGACCGCGTCGCCGAACAGCGCGCGCCGCAGCGAGAAGTTCTCGGCCATGAGCTTCTTGCACTCCGTCGCGTCGCCCAGCGCGATGGCCACCTTGGCCCGCTTCGCGACGTCGGCGATCTTCTCCATGCCGGCGACGGCGACGGGGTCGCCCGCGTGCCACCGCTGCTTCACGTCGCTGTGGATCGCGCCCGAGTCGGACGGTTCGCCGCAGTACGCGAGCCACAGTAGCGGCAGCGCCTGCGCGGAACCCAAATCTTCAACCCGACTTCAATGTGCACGTAATTGAACGGTCACTCTTCGGCCGTGCTTCGAGAACTCGCTGAGAGCCATCGATTCATCCAAAAATCCGCCGAATCGACTTCGATGTGACCGAGCGAGAGCATTTCAAAAGTTTGGTCGGGACGTCCCGGACCGGCGGTCGATGTCCACGCGGGGCGGCGCCGCGTGGAGCTGGTGCGGCGGCAGCCGCTCGTAGACGCCGAAGCCGTGGGCGTCGAAGTGCGCCTTGTCGAAGTCCATGGCCACGAGGCCCTCGTAGGCCTGGACGACGCGGTCCTGGAGGCCCGCGTTGATGCCCAATTCCGCCTCGATCGACAGCACGAGGTTCGGCAGCACGGGCGCGGGCACGTGCGACTCGTCGAGGGAGAAGAAGGCGATCATCGCCTTGATGGCCGCCGTGACGATGGCCGACGACCCCGCGAGGCCGACCTGGCGCGGCACGTTCGTCTCGTAGGACAGCGTGAAGTTGCGCTTCGGAAGCGCGACGCCGTGCGCGGCGCAGTACTCGAAGAAGCGCTTGCAGGCCGCCTGGAGGAGCCGCATGCCGCCCTGGTAGCCCTCGCGCCGCGAGATGAAGTGGAGGTCCGCGAGGGACCCGAAGTCGCAGGGGTCGAAGAGGGGGTGGGGCACGAGGCACAGACGCTCGGACGGCGCGATCGTCGCCGACGCCCAAAAGTTCGCGATGGTCAGCGCGATCGTCGCCCCGTGGTAGCCGTCGCTCGGGTTCCCGAAGAGGCCGACGCGCGCGTGGGCCTTGACCGTGTGCTTGCCGCCGCCCGCCGTGGACCAGCTCGGCGCGTCGATTCGCTCGAAGTGCTCGACCAAATCCAAATACTCCTGGAGGCCCGCGTCGCCGATGAGCCGGAAGACGCCGGGCATGCGCATGGAGTAGACCTTGGACCCCTTGTCGTTGATGGCCCAGGCCATGAAGCCGCCGAGGCTCGGCTTCGCGTCGCGGTCGTGCTCCTCGACGAACGCCGGGAGCAAAGCGACGAGGTCGGGCTTCAGAATGTAGAAGAGCGGGCACGCGTCGCGCGACGCCGTGGCGCCGGGCGACGGCTTCTCGACGAAGCGCAACACCTGGCGCGTCGACGCGTCGACCTCGGCGATGCCCCGCGTCGACGCATCCTCGTCCGCGCCGAGGCGGTACGTGACCGCTAAAGATTGACCCGCTTCCACGTGGCGCTCCGTGACGACGGAGTGGAGGTCGAAGTCGCGGTGGAAGAGGGAATCGCCCGCGATGACCATGACGTCCTGGTCCAGGCCCTTGTCGCCGAAGGAGCCCGCGCGCGTCAGCGCGAGCAGCAGGTCGCGCGCGGCGCCGAGCGACGTGCACCGCATCGTCGACCCGTCGTTGATGACCTTGGACGCGGGGATGCCGCGCGACGTCGCCCAGCGCTCGAAGTGCTTGAACTGCTTCGCGTTCGTCACGAGGTAGACGTCGCTGATCTGCCGCTGGCCCTCGATGGCGCCCCACCAGTAGTCCAGCACGCGCTTGCCCCCCGTGATGGGCAGCAGCGCCTTGGGCAACCCGTGGAGGTGGCTGTACTCGGCGCCGGCGTCGAGGAGCTCGCCCTCGAGGCACGTGTCGACGCTGGCCACGAGGATCACGGCGACCGTCATCTTACTTCGCTGCGTCGGAGAGGCGCCGCTTGGCTTCTCACCTCGTCGCCAGCTCGACTCGCGGTCACTGTGGCGAAGATGCCGTCGTTGCCCCCCGCCTAACGTCACACTGCGCGATAGGCCCCGCGAGTCGGCAGTTCGCGCTGGCCAAAGTCGCGTCCGAGTCCGCGGGCGCCCGCGGAAAGAGAATGGGCTGGCTTCCGGAGGAGGCGAGCGGCTTCCGGGGCATCGTCAAGGATCTGAAGCGGCGCGCGCCCAAGTATGTCTCCGACTGGACCGAGGGCCACAACGCCAAGACCACGGCGTCCATCTTCTTCATGTTCTTCACGTCCATCGCGCCGGCCATCACCTTCGCGGAGCTGCTCGCGACGACGACGGAGAAGATCGGCGTCGTCGAGGTGTGCCTGAGCAGCTGCCTCTCCGGGATGGTCTTCAGCGTCTTCGCGGGGCAGCCCCTCGTCATCGTGGGCGTCACGGGCCCCGTGACGATCCTGACCATCTCAATCTACGGCATGGCCAAGGCGCTGGACATCAGCTTCCTCCACTTCTACGCCTGGGCGCAGATCTGGGCCGGCCTGATGCACATGGCCGCGGCGGCCGCGGGGCTCTGCGACTACATCAGGTACATCACGAACTTCTCCTGCCACACCTTCGGCATGCTCATCGCCGTCATCTACGCCGTCACGGGCGCCGTGGGCATCGCCAAGTACTACACGCGGAGCCAGTCCTTCGCCGCGTGCCTCATGGAGACGATTCTGGCGCTGGGGACGACGCTCTTGTCGCTCTATCTCGCCAACGCGTCGAACTGGGTCATCGGCAACGAGAAGTTCCGGACCTTCGTGTCCGACTACGCGCCGACGGTGGCCATCGTCATCTGGACGGGCATCTCGCTCGTCGGCCGCGCGGACGACCTGGGGTCGGACCTGACGCGCCTGAACGTGCCGCGGAACTTCCAGACGATCGGCGGGCGGACGTGGTTCCTGAACCTCTTCGACTTCCCCGTCTGGGGCATCGTGCTGAGCCTCGTGCCGGCGAGCATCATCCTGATTCTGTTCATCTTCGACCACAACGTGTCGTCGATCATGGCCCAGTCGAAGGAGTTCCAGCTGAAGAAGGGGTCCGCGTACCACCTCGACTTCTTCGTGCTGGGGATCTGCATCGTCTTCACGGGCATCTTGGGCATCCCGCCCTGCAACGGGCTCATCCCCCAGGCGCCGCTCCACACGAAGAGCCTGTGCGTCGTGCGCAAGGAGAAGCAGCACGGCGTCGTCGTCGACGTCGTCGAGCGGACGTACGAGCAGCGGTACACGAACTTCTCCCAGGCGCTGCTGACGGGCGTCGTGTGCTTCCGGCCGCTCATCGGCGTGCTGGGCCAGATCCCCAAGGCCTGCCTCGACGGGCTCTTCCTCTTCATGGCGCTGAGCTCGCTGCCGGGGAACGAGCTCTACGAGCGGTTCTGTTTGGTAATCGCGGAGCCCGCGCTGCGCAAGTCGCCCCACGCCTGGTTCCGGGCGCTGGACTTTGCCACGATCAAGTCCTTCACGAAGCTCCAGCTGGCCATCGCCTTCGTCATCTACTTCGTGACGCTGACGCCCATCTCGATGACGTTCCCGTTGTTCATCGCCGCGCTCGTCTACGTGCGCCTGAAGGTCCTCCCCAAGTACTTCGACGAGGCGACGCTCCTCGCGCTGGACCCGCTCATCGAGCTCGCGCCCGACGACCCGGACGGCGCGAAGAAGGACGACTTCAACGGCGCGGCGGAGCTCGTCGAGGACCCGCGCGGCGCCGCGGACGAGGGCAAGGAGGGCGACGCCGCCGCCATGCCGGCGAGCGACTCGTCGTCGAACCTCCTCGAGGCCGCGTGAGCCGGGGTCTTTTGGGTTCGCTCATTTTTATCGTCGCGGCGGCTCGGTCCTCCGCCGCTGCCAGGGGAAGCGGAAGCCGCGCCGCGGCGCGGCGCGGACGTCCGCGAGCTCCGCGCGGAGCGCCGCGAGGCCGTCGTCGACCTTGCGCTCGAGGCGGTCGACCTGGGCGGCGTAGCACGCCTGGAGGTGGCCCAGGTAGAGCTCGTAGATCGCGTGGTTGATCTCGAAGGCCTTGATCTTGTCCATGAGCGTCTTGAAGACGCTCTCGAACTGGGACCCGCTCGCGACCTTGGCGAGCTGCGTCGTGTTCGACTGGACCTTGAGCTTCATCTGCGCCTTGAACTTCTTGAAGTCGAGCGCCTCGTGGCACTTGGGGCCGTTGCGCGGCGCCGGCGCGGTCGCGTTCGGCGCGGCCGCGGTCGCGTTCTCCGCGGCCGCGGCGTCGCCGGCGACGGCGACGGCCGTCGTCGTCGTCGGTGTCGCGGCGGCCGCCGCCGTCGTCGTCGCCGCGGTCGCGTTCGGCGGCGGCGGCGGCGGCGCCGCGTCGGCCGTGGCGTTCGCCGGCGGCGCCGCGGTCGCGTTCAGGGCCGGCGGCGCGGCAGCCGTCGTCGTCGTCGCGTTGGCCGCCGGCGCCGCGGGCGCTGTCGCCGCCGGCGCCGCGGTCGGCCGGCGCCGCGGGCGCCGCGTCGGCGGCGCGGTGGGCTCCGGCGCGGCCGCGGCCGCGGCCGCGTCGCCGCCGTCGCCGTCGGCGGCGTCGTCGACCGGCGGCGCCGCGGCGGCGTCGTCGTCCGGCGGCGGGCCGCCGACGTCGAACTTGGGCACCGCGGCCCGCGGCTCCTCGGGCGCCGCGCCGAGGAACGCGTTCGCGACCTTTTCGGCCACAGCGACGACGCGCTCCGACGCCTTCTTGCCCATGGTCCGCGTGTCCGCGTCGGCCGGCGCGACCGCGCCGTCGTCGCCGGCGTCGCCCGGCGCCGCCGGCGCGTCGTCGTCGCCGCCGGGCGCCGCCGGCGCGCCGTCCGCGTCCGCGTCCGGCGGCGGCGCGGGCCGCGCCTCGTCGTCGGGCCGCGCCTCGTGCTCCGGCGCCGCGGGGAGCACGGGCTCGATGGCGACGATGTCGTCCGGCGCCGCGGCCGCGGCCGCGTCCGTGCCGTTGGCCGCGGGCGCCGCGGCGGCGTCGGCCGCGCCGTCGTCCTCCGCGCCGCCGTCGGCCGGCTCCGCCGGGGGCGGCGGCACGATGAGCACCTCCTCCGGCTCCGGGAGCACGAGGTCGTCGGTCTCGATGAGCGCCTGCTGCTGCTCGAGCTCGTCGTGGTGCCGCTGGAGGTCGTCCTGGAAGCCCTCCATGACCGTCACCTGGGCGGGAAAAGAGTGCGAAATTCCCAACTTTGGAGGCTCGTCTCTCGGTCGTTTTCCACTCGTTTCGGCTCATTTTTGGACGAGCGATCATCTCTCGGAGCGCTCTCGACGCGAGGATGCTTTTTTCCGGAACGCGCGCGCGCGGACCACTCATGTTGAAGCGCACTTGAATCACGCTTTTCCCGCCCCGACCGCGACGCCGTGGACCTTGATCTGCGACACGGTGCAGGACGCCTCGTCGCCGTGGTGCGTGAGGAAGCGCAGCTTCAGGTAGCGCACGTACTTGAACTCGGCCATGGTGAAGTTCTGCTCGCGGACGCCGTACTTGGCGGTGAAGTTGCCGAGGTGGAGCCACTCCTTCGTCGGGAACGCCTGCGACCCGAGCACGTCGAAGTCGCGCACGCCGGAGCTGTACTTCTCGTACTGGCACAGGATGAGCTCGCGCATCTGGATGTCCTCGGAGAGGCCGATGACGACCATCTTCTTCTCGGAGCACTCCGTGATGCCGTACTTGTCCTTGTCGTCGAGGAGCAGCTTGTGGAAGCCCTTGCTGTGCTCGCTCTGCTCGAGGACGACGGCGCCGGCGTCCATGGACGCGTAGTTGATGACCTTGGCCTTCTTCTTCTTCTCGACGACGTCCTCGCCGTCCTCGAGGTCCGGCACCATGACGGGCGCGGCCGGCGCGGCGGGCGCGGCGTCCGCGGCGGGCGCGGCCTCCGCGGCCGGCGCCTCGCCCTCGGCGGCGTCGGCGGCGACGGATTCCGCGCCCTCGGCGGCGGCCGGGTCCGCCTCCGGCGGCGGCGCCGCGGCGTCGGGCGGCGCGGCGTCGCCGGCGGCGGCGGCATCGCCAGGAGGTGGCTGCGGCTCGTCGTCGCGCGGCGCAGCGCTCGTCGTCGTCGCGTCGCTCGCGAGGGGCGGCGGCTGCTCGGGTTCTGTGGCAGCGACGAGCGCGAGCGCCGCCAGCAACAGGCAGGCCAGGCGGCGCGCAGGGCGCGGCACAGGGCGCGGCGCCATGCGCGGGCGGACTCGATTCAATCAGCGACGTTGAAGCGCGCGAGCGACCGCCGGCGCGCGCCGTTCTCGATTTCTCGCGCGCGAGGCGCGCGCGCGCGACCTCTCGAACGTATTCGTCCATAGCTTCTTAATTTGGCGCGCCTCGTCAGACGGCGTCGGAGAGGTCGAAGGAGGGCAGCGGCGCGGAGGAGGAGCGGCGGTGCGTCTTGATCTGCCTGTCCTCGCGGCGGCGGCGGAGGCCGCGCATGGGCGCGTCGAGGCAGCCGAGGACGCAGACGACGAACGCCGAGAGGAGCGACGAGGCGAGCGCGAACAGCGCCGCGAGCCGCGAGCGCGCGCCGCCGCGGCGCGGCGCGTCGGGTCGCGGCGGCCGGCGCGCGGCGTCGTCGAGGAGGCGGTCCGTGGACCGGTAGCGGCGGCGCGTCGGCAGGGACCGCGCGGGCGAGATGGCGGATGCGGCCCCGCGCGCCGCCGCCGCCGTCGCGCGGCGCGCGGCGCGGACGCGGCGCACGGCCGCGAGGCACCGGCCGCGCGAGAAGACGAGCGTCAGCGGCCGCGGCGCGTCCTTGAGGCGCGCGAGCAGCGCGTCGAAGGCGCCCGGGTCCAGGTCGACGATGAGCTCGACGGCGCCCGCGTCGGGCACCGCCGACGGCCGCGACGTCGAGCCGGGCGTCCGCGACGGCGACCCCGGGATCGTCGGCAGGTTCACCATGACCGTCGGCGGCGCCGCCGGCGGCTCCTTCGTCTCCTCGAAGGCGCCCGCGGGGACGGGCGCCCAGGCCTCCGGCGGCGGCGGCGGCGGCGGCGGCGCGACGAGGCCCACGAGCTCGTCCATCGGCCGGAGGAACCGGCGCGCGACGCCGCCGCCGCGGTGCTCGAAGGTGTTCTCGACGACGACGAGGCGCCGGCCCTCGCCCGCCTCGTCGGACGCCTCCTCGGGGTCGTTGGACGCGAGGTCGTTGGACGACGAGCTCCGCCGGAGGTCGCCCGGCGGGTCCATCCGCTTGCGCGTCCGGGTGCTCGGCGTCCGCGCGAACTTGCTGAGCACGAGGGAGAGGCCCAGGCTCGGCGCCTCGAAGGTCACGGCGACGAGCTGGCCCCGCCGCCGGAGCTCCTCGTAGGCCTCGCGCGCGTGGTCCCGGAGCGCCGAATCGCCGTCGCCGCCCTCGCCGCCGCCGTCGCGCGTCGCGCGGCGCCGCGCGGCGACGGCGCGCGACAGCCGCGCGTTCCCGTCCGTCGTCCAGTTGATCTTGGCGCGCTCCTCGCTTGTCGCCCGGAAGCTCTCCGAGAGCCGCGCGCCGGACGTCGACCGCAGCAGCGACGACGCCTCGCCGCGGGGCGTCGCCGACGCCTGCGCGTCGCCGTCGGCGGGCGCCGGCGGGAACGTCGCGTCCAGCGCGGCGAAGCCGCTCGGCGGGCACATGTGGGTGGGAGGTGTGGTGTTGGCCACAACTCAATTCGTCGATGGACAAATTTGCCCGCCGCCAGATCGTCCCCCGCTTACGACAGCAACGACTTGTGTCTTCAACAATCATCAACTTTACATGAATGATAACGCCGAAGCTTATGGGGCGGCTTTCGGAGAGTGCGCGGGGGTGGTTTCGCGCAGCGGCCGGTGGTGGGGCTCGCCGCGTCGGCTCCGGGGGGCGCTCGGGGAGGAGCACCCCGCTGCGCGCGTCGATTGGGCGGCGGGGCGCCGAGCGCGAGAGCTTGCAGTGCTTGGCCGTCGGCGCGACGTCGCCCACGGGCCCGGGGGGCTGCCGCGCGCGCTCGCTTCGTTCGGATGCCTTCGGCGTGAGTCTTGGGGGGAGCTGGTGGGGTCGGCGCCCTCGATGGCTTCGGTGTGCGGGCTTCGATGTGCCCGTGTCCATTCGTTTCTCTGCATTCTGCAGCGTCTCTTCGTAGCGTGGCGCTGTGTGCGGCTCCGTCGACGTCGGCGTCTTCGCTCTCTTCGTCGGCGTCTTTGCTCTCTTCGGTCCCGCTGACTACGGGTGTCCTCTTCGGCGGTGCCCTCGGCTAGCCACTTGTGGTCCTGAGGTTGAATCGGCCTAGTCGAGCCGGACGTCCTGCCCGTCGGGTGCGGGTGCCTTCGTTCTCAACCTCCCCCGGTCCACGGAGAGTCCGTTGAGTGTCGTCTGAATGAGGCGACTCAGGATGCTACTGCCTTGCGCCAGTCCCGGCGTGCTCTCGGCGTGGCGGTGGTACCAGGCGTGGCGCGAGTGACCGCCGCCTCCGTCCCGAGTGCGCGCA